GAAGTTTTTTTTTGAATAGTTTCGAATTCTGGAACGAATACCAGGTCTATAGTAAAAGGAAATTCAAAATATGGATGAAACATGAAAAGACTGCGAATAAATAAAACAGAAAAAGAAAATCATGTTTTCGGCTTTCCTTCGACGTTAATATACTTTACATCCTCGTAAACGTTATAAACGAATGGTACAAAATTATTCCTGTACGAAATTCAACAAAGTACGTAGTTTCTAAATTTAAATCCGGCTTTTTCCCCGAATTTGTTTATCCATTTCAAAATTCGGCTATACCTCCGAAAGAAATGGGAGATTTTGATGTAACATTATTTAATACAGACAAAATAATTATAGTAAAACAAAAATTATGTCGATACACAATTTTCTGTCTGCATTCCCCATCGTCTTCCTTACATTAATTGCAGCACTTCTCTTTTAGGTTGTGAATGCGAAGCGTAACAGACCCTCCAAGAACGCAAAATATGTTTTATACTGAAGCCAGGTAACATTGCCATTGCACATGACTGAGTAAATTGATCTATAATAATAATGTAATAACGCATGTGGGGGTATGAACCAACAGATATTTAGGGAGATTTGGGACTACGTAGCCTATATTTCAAATTCTCGTTCTTTCGTCAAGTTTAATTTTATTCATCACGGAACAGAAGTCTGTGATACCGTAAAAGCTATAATCAATTTTTTATAAATATTATGAGAGTCCAGAAGCTAGTTGTTATTAACTAGTATTCTTCTCAAGTTTGATATTTGTTCAGTGTTGCTAGTGGGCAAACAGCAGTATTTGTTTTCTTATTGTGACATGCTGAGTATCAACTAACATACAGTCAACCCTCCCTTCGTAAGCTGGAATTAACAGTGCTTTTAATACCCCGCTGTTCATTGCAGGACAAACAAAACTAGCTTATTATACTCTGTTGACACACAAATTATATGTTATGGCAGAACCGAGTTGCCTCCGCCTGAGGGCATAGCTCTCGTCCGTGCAGCTCCAACAAAGTTGCCATACAGCGGTCTGTCTATAGTTTGGTTTATTACTACAACCACGAGCATTTTCTCAATTCCCACCCACGTCGAATAAATTATAATACAAAGTCAAGCTAATGCCATGCGCAACTAATCGTACCTGGACAAATTGCAACATCAACGGTAGATGATTCCAATCATGCTTCTTGGTATCAAAGCAGGGACGGACTGGTCCAACTCACAGAAAAAAGTTCTTGAAGGAGACATGATTCTGCGGGCGAGAAAAAAAGAAATGTTGCATTCTGCACAAACAATAGTGTACCATAAGGATTAGAAGCTAGTCATGTATTCTTTAAAGGGTCCACCAAAATGAATGAGTTTACATGGACATCTTAAAATAGCTCATCCAGTCTCTCTTCACCTAAATATTACTTCTTCTTCTATGGCTCTCCGGTCCGTATTCGGTCCATGGCCTCCTCAATTCACCTCTTCTATTCGGTCCTCTGTTAGGTCCGTCTGTCCGAGGCTTTGATTGAGGTTTCGAAACATCTTCCTTTTTACGGTGCAAGGTTGTTAGCCTTGCGACCAACCCCCAACCTGGAGGACCAGGGTGCCTGTCTTAGTCTGACCTCTCCCCCTCGACCAATCTGGCTAGGGAGGCCCACCAGTAGCTCTCGGGGTCACTGAGGTACTCAAGCCCCACCACCACGACAAGGTGCAGGTACCAGTAAGTGGGATCTAATTATTACAGCTTCTGCAAATTTCCTGATGGTATCAGATCAGAATGTTTTTATTTTTAACCTTCTTTAACTCCCGACCTCATAACGCTTCCTTCAGCGACTCAAGAAGGTGAAAATAGCAGCGCGTAAAGTCGCAACCGAACACTGGATGTTCGAGTACCATACTTGTTGATGAATTTTACAGTATGATAAGCCGAATGATGAATGATGCTGAACAAAGTCGTGAACCACAGCACTTGTTCAAGCCTGCGACCAGTGAACCAGTAGAGCATACAAATTATTAAGTCCTTTCTTTTATTTCCAAGTGGCCCTACATATTTGGCATATACAGGCCGCATCATGCAGGCGAGGTTTTTAAACCGTACTTTTTCGACATCTGACAGGCCTCTTTGGACGGAGGTTAGTCCATTTCGAGGCCTCTGCATACACATTACAACACAACACAGAAAGTCGAAGATAAACATCCGTGCCTTGAGTAGTATTCGAACCCACGATCCTTAAATTCAAGGGAACAATACCCACGTTCAAGACCGCAAGCCAACGTTATCATCAAAAAGTCGTCGTTATGCAAAACTCTAAAACTTTCGTTGTTTTCTCTCTTTTGGATCCAGATATTTTCATCAGCACCTGTCCTCAGATATCCTCGGTCGAAACTCCACATGAATACAATAAAATGCAAAATTGTCCTTATGCACATGGAGAAGGAACTACGTCATGATTCCTGAGGCGAAGACAGATTCTAGTCAGAGATCTCACCGCAAGAATGTCATCTATAAAGGATTCGTTAACTTAGATCATGCTTCGAAGACCAGTAACAAACTGTGCAAAATTGTTCTTTGCATTTTGTCCGCCGTCTTAATTATAAAACGATAAAATTACAACGCTTCGAAAGCTGGATTCTGCTTTCGTCTTCAGGTGCAAAGGGGCCAGTGAAGAGACAAACCAAGTTGCTGGGCCCCCTTGTGGAGTTAGCCTCAGACATGAACGAGGTCGATCACCACCATAAATGTCAGGAATCTACAGAATTTCGCACCGCCGCCATATCGGCATTACCAAGGTTTAGGGGTAACAAGTACGAAGTGGAGTAGCCTACAATAGCACAATGCTCATACCAAGTTTCGTGAAAATCCATTAATTGATTCAGAAGCTAATATGGGGAACGCACACCACACACACGGTTATATACGACGATACAAAAAACGTTTCCATATAAAACAATTTATAGGAAAAATTTGTGATTTTGATGATTTCACCTACATGGAGTCGGCAGCAGGTATTATAAATAACTACTATAACACATTACAGGATATATTTTCAAAAATACATTTTCTTTTTCCCAGTTTGCTGATATGAAATGATGTTCGCTTCAAATATTACACTTCGGTTTAAATCCTTAAACATGTAGAGCATTTGAAGAAAGAACAATGATAAATTGACCTTAATCGTTTCAAGTACAGTCAAAAAAAAGAAAGAAAGAAAAAAAAAGCGTCAAACCTCTATTCGTATCCTACTAACAGACATGCAGATTTACGATATTCCCTAGCGTTTTATGATGAGGCATTCTATGGCATGCTGCGCGTTTAGTTGGTTTGTTAACGACACTGTATCAATTACACATGTTACATAGATTCCAATGAGATGACTGGATGGCTATGAAAAATGCAGAGAACTGAGTAAAAAGAAGTAACTGTAGGCAATTCGTGGTCCCACCATTTGCCTAGAGAGAATGAAAGTAATACGAAAATTCCAGATAGAATAGAAGTTGTCATTAATAAATACTTACGTGGTATTTCCCGAATATGTAACAATCGTTATCAATCGAGCTAAACTGCTCGGTGCTATACTTCAAAAAGCAAATGACCTAACAAGCAGTACATTCCTCTATAACGCTGGCGACCACCTACAAGGTCATACGGCGTTACAACCTAGGATAACCCCTGAAGATGGAAGCGACACGTTCCTCTGAAATGCTGGTAGCCACTACAAGACCGAAAGGCGTCAAAACCTAGAAGGCCACAACCGACAGATGTTTAGATTCAAGATGGCTGTCTTCTGGGATGCTGTGACGTGAAGTGTGGTAAATACTGATCGACGTTTCAGAAGTACTTACGGCCTCCAGCATCAGGGTGATAATGGAGGCAGTAAGCACCTCCAAAACATCGACAAATTCCTGCCAAAGTAGGCGGTGCAACATCTTCATATTCGTCGCCGTGAGAACATGAAATCTCACCGCGGTCTACCGATATAGTTACGTGGTGCAGCCTGATGGACAAACTTTATACTAATGAAGCATTGGTTTCAGAAGTTGCTACTAGATGGCATACCACAACGGCATCTAATTTTGTCCTCTAGCTTCAGTGCACAGACTATGTTGGCAATCCGTAACTCTCGTTAAATGGTTACGTGGGTCTTCCTGGTAATGCGGCCTGAGCGTGTAACGAATCACTCGTCTACTACTATTGCCAAGCTTTTCCCATACGCCTTCCCAGCGTGGTACTTGCGAAAGGGAGGAAAACTTTTCCCAACAGACTGAACACAGAAATATTTCGCAGTTTGCTTCGGAGAATAAAAAAATATTTGAGTTGACGTGCAATCACGGCAGAAAAAAGTGAGGTATAATATCGTAAATGGAAGGCTGAAAATGAAAACAAGATTACAAATGCAGAAAGTGCATTCATACTCTTGCACAACATTAATTTTCTTAATTAACTAAATTACATAACTAGCATACTGTTTTTATCTATTAAATAATCAACTGTGGGAGGGGCCTGCGCAAGGTTGAAACCCTGGCGGCGGTCTTGGTTGTATGTCTTGATAAAATTAACAGTTAACATTCACTATTTCGATTATGTTGCCCTGTGCCTCTGATGTCAAAACTGTCTACTTCTGCTCTGTTATTACCCTAACTTCGAGTCTGGCAATGTCATTCATACAAAGTTTGTTTTATTTACAGTTTATTTAACGACGCTTTTTCAGTAGCTCAGACTATGTAGCGTTAACACATAAAGCTAGATCAGTTGAAATTTAATATATATGAAGTACTGGTAAGCTATTTTATACCATCACTCCCAATTTTTGGCTAAGGAACTAAAATTTAATGATTGAAGTATATTACACAAACCTTTATTTATAAAATGAGAAGTGTTTGTTATCGTGTGCCGACTACATTCATAACCAACTACAAGCACCACTATACCCTACAAACAACATAGAAAACCATACTACAGCCACATACATCTACATGATTCTGTAATGTTTGTAGTAGTTCTCTGACTTGATTACAGGTGTCGCTGAGGTCAAGCTGTAAGAGAAAATGGCTCCGTGTGAAAGGTCTTTTGCGGATTATTGTCGGCTTTGTGCTGTAGAAGCGAAAAATGGTGTTATTATATATAGTTCCGAAGGCGTTAATTTGTGTCTTGAAGAGAAAATTATACAGTGTTTAAGAATAGAAGTGAGAAAGTTTTACCTATGCTCTGTGCTTGTAGACTTGTGCGATTTACAATTCCTTGTAGATACTGAATAAAGTTTCCATCCCAGAGTTTAACGTAAATTTGTAATTAGATATTGCATCAAATTTACAAAACTGACCTTACATGAATTTTGTCAGAAACAAGTGACATGCTTCATATTGAAAACTGTGTAAGATAGAACTATTTTTATTTGTGTATTTCAGGTCTCTAAAGATGATATGTTGCCGAAAAAGGTCTGCAGGTCTTGTCGTTCACGATTAGAGGACTATCATAGATTTGCGGAGAGAGCCAATCGAGTACAACATACCTTGGAGCTCCTTATTCAAATGAAGAGCTCCAGTGTGTCTTCAGGACCATCGGTGTGTGTGTGGTTAACACTATTAACATTGTTGTTACTTAGAATCACAGTGAATAGGTAACATAATAATGAGCATTTTGTTTCATTATGAAAGGTTCCACTAAAGAATGAAGATGGAGTTCATGTAAAAAATGACCCCGATGATGTTGAGATTAAAGATGAACTAATGGATCTTCCTCTAGATGTCACTCTAGAATTGGATGGTGATAATCATGTTGATACTAAAGTAAATAGTACTGATGATGATCATCAGAGTATACCTGGTGAGTGCAAGAAATGAGTTCATTATGTACACAGTTATGAAGTGCAGTATGTCTGTATTAAAGATGTTATTTTTGAGTATATTTATGGGTTTCATGTGATTCTCAGAATAAACAGTGATTGTTTCTATAAACAGTGTTAACCTATTGTTTTTTGTGTTGGAGATGTGTTTTGAGTTAAGAACTGAATTTTAAAATATTTGGGCTATCTTAATGCTTCAAAGGGTTAAACTGTTTTTCTTAAGTTATATATAATTTTAATCATAAATTTCTTTCAAATTATGTATTACTTAAACCTACATAACATGTTTGCCATTATTACTTTTCTCTGTGGATTAACTAACTTAGTGTGAGTGAAAAACACCTTATGCCTGTGTCACGGTTTTCCTTGGAACTACGCAACCTTCGTGATCTGGGTCATTGTAGGAACATACTGTTGCAACAATGGGAACTGATGTCTGTTGGAACACATTGTGACAACAGTAGGGAACAAGGCAGTTGTTGGAATACATTGCTGCAGCAATTTAAGCTGTCATTACTGATTCATGTTACAATGGTATGAGGACATTGTTGGCTGACAAGTGACTGATAACATCACAACACTGACCCTATATACCTCTGCTACATGTATTATATTTGTTCAAGTAAGAGTCCACAGCTCCCTTGATTGCATTTGTTATTAATCTAAGTGCTCAGTTCCTCAGAGGGGTAACATACCAACCTTGTAACATCACCACCTGTATTATGGTGTGCAGAACACCTTTGGAATTTCAGTGTATGCCAAAGAGACACCTTTCCAATCTTGTGTATGGTTTGCTCCCTGCACAACCTTGCAGGCTGTAGGTGACTGCTTGTTGACAGTCTGTGACTATTTATTGAAAACATATCCACCACATTCATAAGCAGAGATTACAAAATGAAATCCTCATCCCAGGTACTATATATCGTTGGATTAAAAATCCTTCAAACTAGACAAACTGATTATGTGAGAGAAAGAGGAATTGTGCAGGATACATAGATATTTTATGTTTCAGAGCTACTTCCATTACCACCTTTAAGAGAGTCAAAGCGTGGTAACGTCAATGAACGACCCATGCGACATATAAGAAGAAGAAAAATGCTGGAGCCCAAGAAAACTTCACATCAGCAGTCAGTAGTAGTAAGACGAAGAAGACGTTCCCGCCGAAATATACCACGCCCTCCTCCCAGTTCTGAAGAGGAAAGTGAAGATGAAGTGAAAGAAGAAAGGCTGGAAGATGTTGAAGTGGATCCTGAGGAATTAGAAAAAATTGACCCTGATGAGATTGATGAACTGAATGTTTTTAAAGGTAACAGTAGGAAGATTAGAAAATATAATGCGTGAGGGCATTTGAAAAATTAATTTTCTCCTGAAATTTATAAAGTGTGGAAATTCTTGTGGGAAAAGTGTACTTTTTAAAACAGTTCTCCCCACTCTCAAATCTGCACAGTTGTGTTACATATATTAATTAATTATATTAATGATTATGAAAAGAGAATGTAAACTGGTTAGTGTAATAGCCTAGTATTGAAAATATCCCAGGTATCAAGACAAATATTAAAGGAAACAAGACTGGAAAGGTATAAAATACCAGAATACACAGCAATTCCAGACACATTCTTTGCAAATTTTGAATTCTGAGTGCTCCTTGCTGATGGGAAAAAAAAAAATACTATACCATACTTGACTTTAGTATTGTTTACAAGCATAGCAACAGGTCACAGGCAGTGTAAAAACAAGCGTGTCTCATAAACATAAAATTTATTCATTAACTGTTACCTACCTATCTTCTTATTTACAAAAGAAATGAACAGATTGAAATCTAATGTACATACATTCTACTATTATCATTAAAATGCAAATTAAATGTTTTCTGTCTTCTCCACTGATTTGTTTATTGGAAACTGATTTTTAAGAGAAGAGCATAGATTCAGAGGGCCTTGGCTTTGTACTACCAACTGCTGATCAATAAATGTAATGTATAGCCTACAATATATGTTGAAATGTCTCTTAACCTGTCATTTTAAAGAACAACTATTAATAAAAGCTAGTGTCAGTTATATTACTTAGACAACTTTAATTTATAAGTGTAAAAATCATATGTTCTTAATGTCCATTTCAGGTAAATCAATAAGAACATGACACAGTGCATGTTAGCTCTGTGGTAGCATATTGGGCTTGTATGTCAGTGGCCATACAATGAAGTTAGAATTTTACTATATGTATTTTTTGAAGATTATTACCGTGCACCTTTGTATGAGCCTATAATAATTGGTATTATTGTCAATATCACCTCACAAGTTTGTGTCTACAATGTTGGTATTATAAATTGTAGGAAGTTTAAAAATGTGATTTTATGGTAGCCTACGTTGGCATATCTGTACAAAATTTTGTCAAAATCTGTCTAGTTGTTGAGTTGAATCATACAGATAGACATGGTCAGCCCTATATGCCTTTATTTCATGTACATAATGAAAAGTTATAACAAATAAAGTATAATTACAATCAATCACTTGAGGATGGAAGCAGAACCAATTTACAAAATACCATGTATATCAAATATATCTGACACTGGATAATGTCTAACATAATACTGGTATAATGCATCAGCCATTATCACAAACCTTTTGGGAATCACTGTTTTAAGATAATATTTCAGTCTTTACTTGACCACAGACTGGAATGGTAATACTGAATATATATATGCAAGGGAAACTGTAGAATTAATGGAGACAGATACCTTCAGCAGCAGACATTTCAATACAGTCAACTACTAGTACATTTCTGTCAAAGGGGGAGAGAGAGAAAAGTGGATGACAAATACTGATGAGATTATATTCATGATTCTCAGAAATCTTAGTACACAATTTGTTGTGAAAAACAAGCTGCTTGTGTGTGTGTGTACATCCAGGTCTTATAGCATGCCACCACATAATCCATTGGCAGATAAGGAAGAAAAGTCCATTTTCTACAGGATGATCCAAAAGTAATACAACCCACATGAAATATGTTAATTTTTAACTACAGTTCTCCTCATCTCTGTAATTACAGACTTGACATCTATGGATGGAATCTTCCTCCTCATGCATGAGATAATGCACATCACCTTCAGAAGCTGATGTTCTTATTTAGTGGTGAGTTAAATGTCAAAGAGGAAGAATGCCTTTTTTACAGTGACCACATTTTTATTGTTGAGAACTGGTTTATATCTGAATTGTATGGAGTATCAGGTGTTAGGCAGATGTTTCTGTTGATATCAGTATTAATGATGGAAGCCATGGCCTGTTTCTTATGTGTTAACCAGAAATATGTATGGCTGTTGTCAGCATTTAAAATATTTTATAAAAATGACCATGAGAAACCTTCACTATTACTTTTGATTGAAATGTGAAAATGCTCATGCTTATAATGCCCTAACTATACATGAACTTACAGTACCTGGTATAAGTTCTGTCATGAGTCATTTGTAATTTTGTCTGCAGTAGAACAATTTTTGTTAAGGTATGCTTCTGCTTATATCAATACATTCCCTTTCATCAAAACAGTAGAACATGAGTTACTCAATGTCATAAATCATCCACAGTGCACCTCTGTATTCTGTAAAAGCTGGGTGTGGTGTGTAATATCATGGAAATGAAAATAGCGTAAATATATAAAGATTGAGTAATTTCACGGCCCTGTTGCATTTTGAATATAATGGTGTGATAACTCATTGCTGTCATGCTACTCGTAAGTATGATACAGGAATCGTTCTGTAAATGAATTATTATTTTGAGAGATCTGTGTCCACCATGATCATCAAATATCTCTTTGTATGTATTTTTTTACAAGTTTTTAGAACTAAATGTACACACTGTATGTACTGGGATGAAACAAAACAATATTTCTGGCTCAGAAACAAAATGAAAAGATGCATGCTGCCATGCATGAGAAGCACACTGTCAGCATGTTTTATAACGGTTCATTCAGAGCTGAAATGCTGCAGTGAGCGCAAAGATACATGTCAATTTATGTGGGTTGTGTGACTTCTAGATCACCCTTTGCTCATTTCTTTAATATTATGTTGATGTATTTGTGATCAAACGCTATGTCTCGGCATGAGACATTGTTATCTTAATCACTTCAGACACTTAGATTATGGCTATGCTATATAAATAATGTATAATTTCATGTTTTTATTGATTTGTATTTATATAAAATGTGGCATATATGGCTGCCATGTCCAATTCCTTGTAACTGAGTGCATGAATATGAAGTAACACCAACAAAGAACTGTTTTACTTTTGTAGGTCTCAGGGATGAAGAGGAAGAAGAAGAGGATGAAGAATTTGATGATGAGGCAGATAAAAATGCAAAAGAAGAATGGAAGACACATTGGGGTATTAAGTGTAACCAGTGTGAACAAATTTTTCCATTCAAATCGCAGTTTGACAGGCATTATCGTAGCTCATATGACAAGAAACCTATATACACATGTTCTTATTGCAACAAGACTATGGAGAAGTATTCCACTTTCAGATCACACTGTTATCGGCATGTCACTGAAGGCAGATATAGGTGATTACCTTATATTAAAAGTGCATATTTGAAATATTTGAACTTATGAAGCCCGAACATAAAGAAACCTCCATACAGCAAGATTCAACATTAAAGTCTTTGTGTAGGAGTGTTTTAAAAAGAGGTTTCAGAAAGTTAGTGTATTTTTATCTTGTGGACTTTGTTTTTATAACACCAAAAGAAACAAGATTTATGGGCTGTATAGTGAGATTATTCTTATTATATAAAAATAAAAGCAGTTATCTTAGACAGAAGGATGGATTCTTTCCTTCATTTTCACTTCACCCAGATGTAGAATTTAATAGATTACAACTCAGTGTTTGTCTAGACAACACTGTTATCTATAAATTTCCTTTAAATATGCATTAATTAAATTAGCATTTTTAAGTTTGGGATTTCATATCACACCATCAGTCTTGTCAGTTATTCTTTAGGCTAAACTAATGTAGTTTACTACATTTTAGAGCATAGTTGCTCTATTAATCAGAGATTTACCTTTCACCATTAACATCAGTCATAAAATTATTAGCTTATTTTGATGTTACACATTAGTATAAATGAAAAGAATCAAAATCCCATTTCAGAACAAAACAAATTTGGAATTTTATGTATTTCTATGATAAATTAAATGTACTTAACTTCAAGTTCAGACTTCATTTATGTTATTTGTACTTATGTGCATGCATGCACACATACAGCAAATTATTCTTAGGTAGTTGTTCAGGCTGTTATTAATTTTAGGAGCAGAAAAAACAATCTGTTGTTTAATAGTAATAACAAGAAATCTTTCTGAAGATTGCAGTCTTCTGGGTTGTTGTGCCGTGTAGTCTGGTAGAAGTTTACTGACGTTTCAGAGGTCATTGCTGCCTGATGATGGAGGCACTTCTACCAGACTGCACAGCACAACAACACAGAAGACAGCCAATCTTCAGACTCATCACAATGAAAACCTCAAATCCTACAAAAAATCTTTCTTCTTGCACAAAAGAAACATGAAGCATTTCTAACTACTGCATTGAAATAAATATATATGAAAGCTACTGGGTTACTTTTAACATTGTAAAAAATGAGAATGAATTTAATTGAGAAGTGAAGAAACTTACTATAAACCAGGAAAAACTGAAGAAAATCATGGAAAGGCAGTCTTGTCTGGGATTGAAATTGCCTGAAATGAGACAAGAATTTCAGGTGCTAAGTTGCTGTTCTTCATTTTAAGAAAGGAATTGGTTGCAACAGTATTAAGTAGTGTACTTCTGAGCTTTCTTACTGTGAAGTCTGATGCAACACTTTTTTAAAAGCAACCATATAGAAGAAATATAAATGATAAGAAATGTTGAATCTGTTACAGATGTGAGTACTGTCAGAAGGGCTTCAGTCTGCGAAGCATGCTTCATGTACATATCCTAGCAAAACATACAGCAGTGAAACCCTTCATTTGTGAGGAGTGTGGTAAAGGTTTTGTGACCCGGCCTGGACTCAATATTCACCTTAAGAAGCATAAGACTGATGAGAAGCTAGAGTATCCATGTGGAGAGTGTGGCAAAGTGTAAGTACTGTTATACAAAAGATGCTTCTCAATGTGAATTTGAAGAAAAATTACAAATTTTCTTTAATATGATGTACATAAATTTGAGAGAAAATAAAAAAGCTAATAATGGGTTATACATTTTATCACTCAAAAAACCATTTTTGTTTTTAATCTCTTCACTGTGGTAATCAGTATCTGACTTTGTGTTTTCCTATGCTGTGGTATGATTAAAATATTGTTAAATTTATCATTACTGTAGAATAATGACAGCTTACTAGTTTGAAAATTCTGTAAACCCAAAAAAACAAACAACATGTTATTATTTTTCCAGTCTTCATACACGAGGAGGTCTTACAGCACATCAGAATGTACACAAATTGGGTCGGCGATTCATGTGTGATGTATGTGGCAAGACATTTACACAGAAAGTGAATATGCAACAGCATGTGAAGCATCATACAGGTGAACGACCATTTGCCTGTGAGAAGTGTGGCAAATGGTAAATAAATTCAGGCAAACTTAAGTTTTGATATAGTGTAATAAAAATGTGGCAAAGTTAGCATTTTATATGAATTCATACTGCTAAATATTCTTGTTTTTATATGGTTACAGTTTTGCAGAAAAGTCGCATTTAAACCGTCACTACAGTTTTCACAGCGAGAAACGCCCATTCCAGTGCACAGTATGCTTAAAGATGTACAAAACAGAGCGTTGCTTAAAAGTACATGCCATGGTTCATGCTGAGGCACGACCATATGTCTGCACATATTGTAATAAGGGCTTCCTCAGTACCACAAAACTCAAGGTATTTTGTGACATGATGGATAAACTAATTGTTGAATAATCATATTTACCCATTGATAGTCTTAATTATGTCATAATTGAAAAAAACAGTATCAATTTGGTTATTATTTTTAAAGAAGCTTTCCTTGGTTTCTACTCATTTAAGCAAGCCAGAAGACACAAAAATGTACTTTTTCATTCTGCTGCTATCAAAAGTTGCGGTACATATTTGGCTTAGACATGCCTCATTCCCACACATTCTCTTGAAATTGACTAACATGAGCCATAAGAAATTCCTACTTCAGCAGTTTCATGATAGTCTTCAATCATCTTTTTCAGCAGCTCGAGACTATATAGTGTCAAATAAGAGGATGTTTTTGAATAGGAAAGGATGTGTAAGAAAGCAGTCATTGTCTAATTTAAGAAATATCATTGAGGAATTTTTTTCTTCAGAGCCACATAAATTGTATTTATTGATAAACCAATGAATGATTTGTCATTTGAGCCTGAGACCATTGCTGTTGGTTTGTGTCTGCCTGTTGTATTAAGAGGTAAGATGATAGAATAATATTTATATGATTATATGTACAGTATTATTTATAATCAAGCATCATGTACTCACATTAACACTGGTGGTAAAAGTTATATTGAAGAAGCTGATTAATGGAAATGCTGACATATGTTATGCCTCTTCATCTGCAGTAGCATAAATTTCTTATTACCACAGCTGTACTGGGTAGGTAAATAACCTCCAATCTTCCACTTTCTCCCACTGGTAAACAGAACTTGGGCCAGCTATATAAATGTAGAAACATCCCAATAAGCAGAGTGTAAGATGTTTCACTGTGATATCAGATTATAATGTAATTTTCCAAAAAAATTACAAAACAGATGTAATGAGATGCAGGTATTTGTATTATTCAACTTAAAATTTCAATTCCATTTTTGCAGCAACATTACAACATCCACACAGGGGAACGCCCATATGCTTGTAAGTTTTGTGAACGCACTTTTACCAACTATCCAAACTGGCTGAAACACACACGACGAAGACACAAAACTGATCCTCGTGGTAGCAGTGGAATTGGAGCATCTCGGGTAGTTTTACAAAACCAGGAAGGACAACATCAAGGGTTAATTCCATCACAACAGCAAGATGATGTTCCACAAGAAGATGGAAGAGGAAGTGTTAGTTGTGACACACCACAATCACAGCAATCTGCACCTTCTCAAGTCATTCCTGTGGCATGTCTGGCAAACAATGCAAATCCAAATGTAAATTGTATGAGCTTAATGGCACCATATCCTCATCAGTCTCAACAGCCACATCCAGCTCACCAAACCCATCATCAGTCCATGACCTCTGAATCAAGAATGCAGACTGCACTACCTCTTACCCAAGTCCAGGTATATCCTGAACACATGATGGCCATTTCTATGCCTCACCACCACCACATGCTTCCCCTGTGATGGTACAATATATCTGGATCTCCATGATATGAACCACCATACATGAAACATTTTATGAACTTAAGGCTTAAAGTTACATGCAGCATAAAGAATTGAACTGTGGTGTATACCATTTATGCAGGGAATTAGTGTTCATTGTAAATAAAAAATATGTACAAGAGTGGACTTGTTTTTCAAGAACATAGACTAGTTTTATTAAGTCTACAAGATAGTCACATTTATGCATAAAGGTGTGCATGTTTGGTAACTGATTGAGACATTTTTAATCACTACATGACCTGCAGTATATCAGTATATTGTGTTTATTAACTGACAGTGACAAATAATTTGGTTAATTTTACACACTGTTTTTATACAATTTTGGATACATATAGTATGAATGTGTGATGTGTATATTCTTAAATTCTGATGGCTGCATGAAAAAATGAAGACTGCCAAAATGAATCACAGACTGAAGCTATTGGATCTCTTCTTAAAACAAGACTGTAAATATTTGTGTGATACAGTATGATAAATTGTACTAGATTTTGGTAGTTCTGTTTGTTTATTTTATGTATTATTGCTGTATTAAGACATTAACTTCAGTTCAGTTTAGTATTCTGTATCATTATTTAAATCTGAGGAAATATGGGAACAGAATGCAAGAAATGAAATACAACATAGTAAGATTACAAATGTCTACATACTCTGGTTCACATTTTGTTTCAGTGACGAGGCAGCTTGCCCTAATAATTTTGTCTCAGCCCATTGGTTTCTCCTGAACAGTCCAACTATATTCAGGGTGAGCACAAAAGAACTTTACACTTGCAAAATGACAGAAAACAAATGTAGCATACTTTGAACTTAATACCCACACCAGTCGATAGAAAAAACTCATGAAGTTTTTTTCAAATGACCTGAGTGATTGTTGTGTGCCTCTGCTAGATGCTACTAGTTATGAAAATGGCTACCCCGCACCAGAGGAGTTGGTGTGTTCTGCATTTAGCTAAGAGTGCTGTGGATCATGCATTTCACATACAATTTTACATGGAACCACCCAGCTGAGTATGCATTCACTCCAATCTGCCAGAGTTGAGGAAGCAAATCAAAACTGGCGTATCTTCCATCATTAGGGACAATTTGCACAAAATTTGGGACAAGTTGGATTTATCATCTCAACATCTGCTGTGTGACTTGCAGAGGACATACCAAGTCTCTGTGAGGTGTGTACAAAATTTTCAGTTTTTTTCTATCACCCAGAGTAGGTGTGAAGTTCTACATATGATGCATTTATTTTGACATAAATACATCTATAAGGAAGGGTCATTCGGCAAAAAAGGGGAACGAAAAAGTGTAACCTGGTTACCTAGGAAATGTCAATTGTTTACTCGGCATTATTGTTACCTAGGAAACGTCATCTGTTTACTCAGCATTGTTGTTTCCTAGGAAACGTTACATTACATTACTCAGCATTGTTGTTACCTAGGAAATGTCATCTGTTTACTCGTCATTATTGTTACCTAGAAAACGTCATCTGTTTACTCGGCATTGTTGTTACCTATAAAACATTTCATTACCTTACATTTCATTACATTACTTTACATTACATTCAGCTACCACAGACCCATCTTAAGCATAACTAATTCAAGTTAAATAAGCAAAGTCTTAATCAAACTTTACTCAATTGTAAGCATGTATAAAGGAAATATTTAGAATAAAGCCAATATATAAACTTCCTTTCTGTACAGACGTATTTACGTCAAATTCTCCGGAACCATGGTTCCACTGTCAATTTTTTGTATAATTTTTAAAGTGTAAAATTCTTTTGTGTTCACCTAGTATATAAAGTAACAGGGCTTCAAACTCCAATTAATGGAAAAAATTACTTTTACTTAAGGTGGTCACTCCTGGGTGTAAAGCAGCTGGCCTGTGGACCTGATGCACTCACTTCCATTTACTGCCAAGGTTAAGAATGTGTGGAGCTTTACCTCCACTTCCCATATATCTTCATGGTGTGATACTTGGACTCAGGGACAACTTTACCTTTAATAACACTTCTGAACATTTGCCTTGGCTATACTGTATTTAAAAGCATGTGCACAATTCTAGGTTTGTTCTGCATTAATTACTGCCACCACTTTAAAATTTATATTATTCAGAACTATTGTATGATATTGGTACATATTCTAGGTTTGTGTCATCATTTTTGTTTTCATCCTTCGATAATTTGCCTCAATTTTGCTAACAAACAAGGAAAGTTGTATTACAATTTTGAGTACATTAATTGTCCAAATGCTATATTGTTTTGATTTTTCATAACTGCCAATACATATCTATTTTCCCCATTCAGACAGCAACTCCAGGATGTTAGCTTGTGAATATTGTATTTAAAACCCTGATAGACTTTGATTACAATTAATAATGAAAGTTGCTTTAGGATTTGGCAATGACCAACAACCATAATCTGTTATAAAGCTATTTATTCTAACTGAATCTAGCCAGAAATGATTTCTTCTTGCAGTTTTACATAAATGAGAATCTTGATACTGATTTATTTCTGATACAAATCTATTATATACTCAAATGTAGTGTTACAAAAATTATGTTGGGGTTTTGAAGCAATGCTACTTCCTAACCACTCGTGCTAGAAACATGAAACCACAAATGAAGGAGGAACTCTCATAGTTTTACCTCTGTACTCTGAAGTTCGATGTAAGCATCATCTGTTGCTCTGCACACATGAAATTAATGCTCCAATTCTTGCCACATATGAATAAAACATCTGGAGTGAGTGACTAAACAGCATCTATGATTTGTTGCTTCTAGTGCTTCAGATCACTGACTGTGATACTGTACATCACTTGTTTCATGTAGCTCCAAAGGTAAAAGCCAAGTGGAGCAAGGTTTAGGAAGTGAGACAACCAATGTTTCCAACCTCGTCTTTGTACTCATGTTCCTGGAAAATGTGCTTCAAGGAGCTGACTTACTGGAGTGTGATGCCCTCCTGTTGAAATATTGCACCGCTTTCAATTTGGGGTATTGCAACATTTTCTAACATACTTAAGTAATTGTGTGGTGTCACAATTGGTTCCATAAAGAAAAAGAAGGACCCATCTCATGGGTAAATTCACACATTAACTTCAGGAAATCACTGATGAGATATTCAGAAAAATTATATCTATTCCAATGGCCATCTTTCTTCAGTGTTTGCAATAACATTCATGTAACCTGAAACAATATGAGAGTTACTTCTTTGAGTTCTGTTTCATTCATGTTTGTTGTATTTGCAGTAATGAAATGGCAACACTTCAAAACCTCACCATGACTTTCCAAGACACCAAATTTCCCTACCTAGATGGCAGTGTTGAACTCGATCATGAATGAAATTAGTAATGGAACTTAATTCAGGATTTAATAGCGACAAACATTAATGCAGCGCTACAATACATAATACTGTACAGCCAATTATTTTTCCTCATAAATACTGTACTGAAAAATGTTTGGAATTAAAGTTGTAGATATTAATAAGGTCTGTGTTTTATGTAAAAATTTTCTGTGTGATAAGCTGTTTTGAGAATGCTGAAGTTTAATTTAAGCTCATGTAAAGCAGGGACCATATTCAACCAATATAAACTAAAATTAAATTAATGCTGATGACCTTTAGTGCAGATCCTACAACAAAAAAATTAAATGAAATCTCTTAGTAATTTCAGCGCTGTAATATGCAGATGTCTATCTGCATATTACAATGCTGCATGCTATATGCAATCAGTTTGGTCAAGATTTCATAATACTGGTACTGAGTGAATTTGATGCATCACCGTGAGAAAGGAAATAGTCATATTTGCCCATCCTGCTCGATCTTACTTAAAACCATGACTGCACAATGCAAGTGAGAATGAAAAATATTATAGTGACCTTTTTTACCATCTATATTTAAAATTACTTCAGGTTTTTCCCCCAGTATTGTCAAGGTGATTAAGTCGAGAAGAATGAGATGGGCTGGGCATGTAGCGCGCATGGATGGGACAGGAGGTGTGCACCGGGTACTGGTTGGGAAACCTGAAGGGAAGAGACCACTGGGGAGACCTAGACGTAGGTGGGAGGATAATCTCAGGCGGGATCTATGGGAGATAGGAGTTGAAGGAAACTGGATTTTGTTGGCCCAGGACAGGGTTCGGCGGAGGGCTTTGGTTAATTTGGTGATGAACCTTCGGGTTCGGTAAGCCATCTAGTTAGTTAGTTCAGGTTTTTCAGGAAGAAAATCTCATCTTAGATTCAATAAGTACAGTATTTACACACATATTCATACACACACTGGAAACTCAATATAATGTGTGCAGGACTGCACATGCAATGGACATACCCTAACTGCAAGCAACTTTAACATCATAAACATAAAGATGTGGCTCCCTCACAAAGATAATAACAGGCTGTTGTAACAAGACACAATGGATATATGTATTAAATAAATTCATAAAAATAATAAATGAGGCCATGGTACAAATACTATTTTGACAAATTACATCTACAAGAAGTACACTAGTGTGGTCAAAGGTAGAGTGTACATAAAATAAAGAAGGAAAAAAGAAGAGGAGAGAGTTTACATATACAAATAAAAATGGGAAATGACTAAACAAGTACAGTGATGCTTTTCCTGAAGTAGGCTTAAATGTTAAAACAACAAGGAAATTTGAAATACAGACCTCATGGTATCTAAAATTTATTTTGAATCTACTCAATGGTGGGCAGAGGTAAATTTTTTTATTCTAAACAAGAACATAATTTGGAATCATAGCAGCTTTGATGATTATTATATGACGACACTAGCATATGCCACAATTTAATAGTCACTATAATATTATTTATGTCCTTGTATTTATATTTTTGGGGTGGTGGTCAGGTATGTTTACATACACATTTGAACAACAATTTTCATAACTTAAGTAAAATGCAGATCTAACAAACTTTAAACTTTATCAGCCATACATTGTGGCATATGCTCAGTCCAGCTGGGGATACATCACACTAGCATAATGCCAAACCATTAACCTAGATTTAAAGTCCAGCCAGCAGCCCTGTAATACATGGGTTTAAATCCCCTATTCCTATATAACAAAGGTTACACTAATATGAATCACGCTTTGTATTTAATACCTTCACACACTGCTGCTATTTCCATGCAGGTTTCATACACCGACGATCTCTGGCTGAGCCATGCCTTGCCTTAGACAGATCATGTGCTGGAATGGATGGAGTGCTCTGATATTGGCCCCCTGCAAGACTGAGCCTGGTATCCTGAAAAACAGCATATACACAACACATTTATTACAAATGATTTGACATCTCTAAAATCAATAAGACCTTTCTAAACGATGTGACCAGGCTGTACTCACTGTGTTCATGAAGTCTTTGAAGACATGGAAGGGATACAATGTAATTGATTTTGTTTCAATCAAATAAAGTAAAGTAAAGCTGTCCCACTATGTGCCACGTAGGCGCTTGGGGGTAAGTGGAGGTATAGCTCCTACTCACTCTTGACCTCAGCACTAGATGGGGGTGAGTGGTCAGCATCACGCCCCGGTCGGCTTTACCCCCGGGAAAGGACCCCGGTACCCATTGTAGAGGAGGCTGGGTGGGCCCCAGAGCCGGTCTGGACGCAGAGGCTAGAGGAAAAATCCTCTGCCCCTGTCGGGGATCGAACCCTGGTCGTCCAGCCCGTAGCTAGTCACTATACTGACTGAGCTATCAAATTAAAAAGTTAAATTTACTCTAACCAAGAACTTGTTTCCACACAAAATTTCTCGTTAATAAAACTTAATGAAGTACATACAAGTGCCAGATGACAAATCAGGCACATTTCATATTATGTAAAATAATATAATTAAACATAAATATGTGGAAAAGAATGTCCATTCATAATACATCTGTCAGTACACACCATGATGATGTGATTAAATATTATATTCATCTTCAAGTAGAATATCTTTCAATATAAGTTGAAGATGCACAAAATAAAACATTTTTAAAGAAAAATTTAAAATTTTGTAACTATTAATTTTAATATTTTACTCTGCATTTACATTTTCTAATCAGAATGGCCTGAAACAGGGAATGATCTATTGCTGCTGCTTTTCAATTTTGCCTTAGAATATGCCATCAGCAAAGTCCAAGAAAATCAAGATGGCTTGGAATTGAACAGGACACATCAGCTGTTGGTCAATGCTCATGATATTAATCTGTTGGGCTATAATATAAATACTCTAAAAGCAAACACAGAAACAGTTTGAAGGGCTGATAGAGATGTTGGTCTAGAAATAAATGCAGAAAACACAAAGTATATGACCATGTCTCAGCATCAGAATTCAAAACAGAATCAGAAAATAAGGACATCGTTTGAAAATTTTACAAAATTCAAATACTTGGGGATGACACTAAGAAGTCAGAATGACATTCATTATGAAATTAAGAGTAGATTAAATTCAGGGAATGCTTGCCATCATTCAGTCCAAAATCTTTTGTCCTCCCATCTCATGTATATATAAATAAAAACTACAGGTTAAAATATACAAAAGTGTAATTTTGACATTTGTGCTGTATAGGTGCAAAACTTGGTCTCTCATTGTCAGAGAGAGACAATATTGAGGGGTTTTGAGAACAGAATGTTGAAGATATTTGGACCCGAAAGGGACGATGACAGAGAAATTTCCATAATGATGACCTTCATGGCCTATACCCTCACTTGATATAGTTGGGGTGATTAAATTGAGAAGAATGAGGTAGGAGGGACAAGCAGCATGCATGGTGTATTTACAGGGTATTGGTTGGGAGGTCTGAAGGGATAAGACCACTGGTAAGACCTAGACGTAGGTGGGAGGATAACGTTAAGATAGACCTTAGGGAGATAGGAATTGACAAAGCAAACTGAATGCAGTTAGCTCAGGATAGAGTTCGGTGGTGAGCTTTTGTGGACACAGTGATGAACCTTTGGGTTCATACAGAAAGTGGGCTATTCTTTGACAATCCAAGTAACAACTGACTTTTCAAAGAATATCCTGTATCACAGAGTGAGTGAGTAAGTTAAAATTAACTATATAAAGTAAATTCATACTTACATGTAAAATTTTCTCCCATGTTGAGTGTTGAGCTACCTCATTTGTGGGTACATCTACAAGTTCATGTCTTTTATCATCCTGACTACATCCATCTTGCCTTGGTATCTCATCTGGTCTATGAATAGTAGCCTGTTTTCCATCATCTGTTGGATTACCTGGAGACCTGTCCAGTAACTGAAAAGAAATGGTTTTTCAGCACAGATGGAAACATATTGTTTTCAGTTCCTGCAGTGTTTAGAGGATGAATTATCAAGGATGGCTGCTTTTTTTTTTTTTTTTTTTTTGGGGGGGGGGGGATACAAAGAAGAGATAAAAAAAATCCAGAATTAATCAATCAAATTTTGTTCCAATCTTGGGATTTCTTAACCTATACATACCATACATAAAACTGGTATTTTGGCAAATTTGTTTGTTCTTCCATGTGCTAAATTTTTGCTTGCAAACTGCTGGATTACAGCTTATTCTTGACGTCACTCAAAATCTGTGTTGAACTCTTATTAAACTATCACTCTACATACTTTTATTATGTATTTTCTGAGTTCATCCTCCTGATGTCCTTTGCCTAGAGGAGTTTCATGTAATGATACAGGTTGTTCTGCCTTTCTGTAAGTAAGCAGCCCATTTTGATTGAATGGCATCTCATAAGCTGTTGATGAGCCACTACTCTGCTGATGAAGGTTAAGAGGGGTTATATGAGACTCTGATGCACCTACAAAATCTCTAAATACAGGTGCAGTATCGGTTCCCATCTAGAAAAAACACATATTACAAAATTGTAAATGATACTCTACATAACAGCTGTCATTTCAATATGTATCCTTACAGTGTTATTAACAACAACATCAGTATTAAAACACTATACCTTATTGCTTTTTGAAGCTTCACCACTTGCTCCTGAAACAGTATTGTTTTTCCCAACATGGTGTTCATTACCATAGTGAGATTTCAAGGTTAATGGATCATTTCTGTCTAAAGTAGTCTGCTGATTGTGAGTTTCCAAGGGCCAGGTGCCAGCGTCAGTCTTAGACATATCCTTCCTCTGTGAAACAAAGGACCAGTAGTAGCAAAATATAAAATATCTACAGAATGAAATACACTTCTTATCTACTTCATACACCCTCTTCCCTTACATATAAAATAATTTTTAATTAGACTGCATGTAAATGAAATGGTGACTTTTTTCAGTAGTGTTTTGTTTCTGAAGCATACAAAAAGAACTTTCCTTCACTTCTTTAAATCTATAACTTGGGGCTAGAAAAAACTCTTCAACTTCTTAAAACCTATTCGTGGATCAATTAACAATGATGCCTCTTCATCCACCTCAGATGCTAGGATGTTTCTTGAAAGAGGTTCAAAATGCACAATCAGCTTGTTGAACCTGTCACAGCCTCGCCATAGTCTTGTTAGAAATCAATTTTCAGGGTTCTTATCAGATCTCTGCAGTTACCTTGCAGATGCCAGAGAATAGATTTATTGATCAATTTCTGTTCATAATTTCTGCTAGTACAGATACCAACAAAGTTAAAATGTGCAAGACATAACTTCAAAAGCTGTAACTTGTAGATATATTTATGACTTAGACTAACACAAATTCCACATGTCTACTTCCAAAATTCCTAATTTAGCATGATAAAGTGAAAAAATAAATGCAAATTTCAGATTTTGTGGCATTATCATAATCTTTTTTTTTTTACAACCCACTAGGGTGTGTGTGTGTGTGTACGGTTATGCTGGTGGAGGAATTACAAAAACAAGTTGTGTATTTCTTTCAGAAGACATGTTACCACAGAAAATTTATAGACCCCACATCAACTGGCAATAGCGTTGCTCCCAACCATGCTGGTGGTACTGATAGTAAGAAATTAAACAGTACAAAGGCAAGATGTTCAACCACATTTAAAGAAAGTCTGTCTACTGGATAATAAGTCATTTACATAGGAGTTAAGTATACTTCCAAAATGCAATTATTCATTTTACCTGTACTATAAGACTGTCTGCTACATGGTTAGCTAAAGGACTATTCCCAATGATGATACGCAATGCTTCTTGCCACTGTGTTTCCATGACACAGTGTAACTTATCAACCATTTCGCTTTTCCTAGAATTATATCCCTGTAATTTAGCTTCTAGGTCAGAAACCTGCTGCATTGCCTGAGCTAGCTGCAGTTTGTATAACTGAAGCTCTTCCACATGTTTCTCTTCTAGCAGCTGCATTTCCAATCGGTGTCTGAAATCAAAAAGCTTATTTGAAAGCAACTACAGTTTAGCATTACAGTAAAATACATATACAGACGTGAACACACGCACATGAATCTGCAACTGACATCTCTAAATCCTTAGCAACCCTGAAATTCACCACTAATGTAAATGCTGTTTAATAAATTTGTAGCAGAGAATGCAAAATGTTTTCCGTAACAATGACAGTACAAAATCATGGTTCCAATCAAGAAGCAATATAGTACATTTAAAGTAACTAGTCTTTACCACTACATATCACGCAACCTCAAAATTCAGAATGTTGATATTTATAGACCATACAGGTATACATTCAGTCTCTTTTAGACTTCCACGGAACAAAACTGTGGAGAGGACTGAGGGAGACTTGCTAAAATCAGATACAAACTGCCTAGTGTAGCATAATGTAAACATGGATCCAGCTTAAATCTTGAAGCATATATGACAGCAAGCAAGAACAAGGGGTCAGTGGACTTCTCCAAGCCTTTCCTTAAGTTTACCTTCTTAGTACAAAGACTGTTCATTACATAAAAGGCAAATACATGTTTCAAATCTGGAGCTAAAAACAGAAATAATATAAATAAATTATACGACATACATAACTATTACACACATCTGTATATATACTTTCAGATAGAAAATAAAGTATGTTCTGGATGAGTTCACTTAAACTTCAAAACTTAGCTACTGGCAGCAGAGTGCATTCATGTTTCCTTGTTCATTGCTCTGCCTGTAAAAATGTATGACACAACTTACTGAACATTAAAATGTTTTTGTGTACATATTTTCCAGATTAATGCCTTTTATTTTTTTGGTTCTACTTATCATATTAAAAAAACTTCTGATGCATATTTTTCATAGGTATTCCTTGTAAGTAATGAACTTACTTTTCTGATATCTGTCTTATTTGTTTGGAAGCCATTTCAGTGATTGCATGCTCCCGTTGTTCCAGTTCCTTATGTAATGAAGTCTCTGCAGCATCCAATTGTTCCTGAAATTCTCGTAGCTTGTCATGTACTACCACTTCCAATTGCTCCTGGTAGTATTCTCTTAATTCAGTCTTCATTTTATCTGACTGAACAGTCAACTGTTTCATCTCTTCTCGAATAGTTTTCTGAAAGATTGTGTCGTATGTACAACACATCAATCAAGAAAGGTTCTTGAACTGCCACGCAAAGTGCATTCAAAGTTACACAAGGATTATTTCGTACAGAATTTACACAGAAGGACCACAGCTATGTCCATTCCCTCTAACACTATTTTCAAACAAACTGTAATTATTGATAACACTATATTAACTGCTGATGCTATTTAACATTGAATAAGATGAGAGGATGATCACATATGACAAACAAGAAAGGATGGGGAAAGAAGAAGTAGCTGTGGTCTTTTCCTGGAGAGGAACAGAAAACAAATGAAAATCTGAGCCAGTAACTTTTTGGGATATGCCAAAGATACAAATGAGGTACTCCTAATACAAATCAGACTCCTTACTACTATGTCAACCTGTTCAGTGTGTACACACAGATTCAAAATATCCAAAGTCCTACATGGACAGATAAGGACAGTATCAGTTATATGAATTTAATAGCAAAATCTGACACAGAGATGCTACAGATTACTTTGTGTGTCCTGAGTAGGGACTAATTCATCAGAAAATCAGAATACTAATAATTATTCAAATAAACAGAAATTCACTGCTTGTATATGTGACAACATGGCATAGAAATGATGCTGCATGTGATGTCAAGGATTTTATTTACATTGGTAAGAACACAGTCACCTCGGTGGACTAGTGGTTAGCGTGCTCGCCACTGGGCCCAATGTTCGTGGGTTCAAACCCGAATGAGGTCGATGGATTTAAAGGGTGATAAGAACCTTACAAACATGAATGAGATGTTTCGTAAGCAAAATTTGGCGGCCATTTCTCACCCAAGTCTCCTGATTCACTGCTAGATGGCTCTAGCAGACAAATCAGGATTGAGCAGAAATTGTGCAGAGGCTGTGGGCTTGTCACTCACTATTCATAAATGCACAATTCAAAGACAAAGATACCTCCCACACGGGAGCAGGCCAGGGCTTGGCTTTGGGCTTGTGCGCCATAGAGTAAGTCAGTAAGAACACAGTCACTGTAAACACTTTTTGTTTCACTTTATTGAATGCATATCATTAAACAGTTCAGCTACTAGGTCCTAGGAATAGCACTGAACACTAAATAAATGACTTAACCATCCTTCACTACATAGGTACATTACAACAATTAAACACTTTGTACTACAAAAAACTAGCTGGTTTATACCTCTGTCTTTAGATTAATAACAGAATATTTCCTAAAAATACATAATCATATTCATAATAAATACTTACTGTTCCCAATTATCTTAATTATTTTTTGCAGAACAGATCACATTATATCTTACACAGATAAGAACAAACCTCTTTCTTTTTATTTTCATCCAGAGTTGCCTGTACTGACTTTTTCTGTTGATCAAGGATGTTGATTCTTCCTTTCTCTTCTTTCAATTTCAATTTAAGTGTTTCTCTTTCTTCTTTTAAAGCAGACACTTCAGCTTCAAACGAATTAAGCTTCTTATAAGCGCATTCCACCTCCCTCTGAACATCTATCAGCAGCTTTCTTTCCTAGAATAACCAATAAAAGAAATAATGGACATACTGTACTACAAATAACACTTGAAGTAACTTAAATAACTCTATGAAACAGAGTCCTTCTTATTTATTTAGTGTTCTGTCTGACGACTGGTCCATATGAACAGGATCCTTCCATCCTTTTCTCAGACTGGGACCTGTTCATATATGTTCTTGGCAGATGATCCAGAAGTGGTTTGCCATTGCCTTCTTCTGTATGTGAATGGAGTAATTGTTGGGATGCCACGGAGAAACCGGGGAAGCCCCCGGAGGAAAACTCCGTGTTTCCTAGACAACGGCCTTGCCCAACACAAGTTATAAATTCGGGCACCGCCGGGAATCGAACCCGAGACCCCAGGATTACAAGGCCAGCGTTCTAACCGCTAGACCACCGCTAGGTTCATTTGAGTTTACAAGAGCCAGTCACCAGTGTCTATCCTCAGCCAGATAAATTCAATTGACACTCTTCAATCCTATCTTCCTATAATCCACTCGAATATTATCTTCCTAGCCATTCCTAGGTTTTTCGAGTAATTTATTCCCTTCAGGTTTTAAACCCAAAATTTTGTGTGCATTTCTCATATACATGCCCTATCCATCTCACCCTCCTTGATTTAATCACCATAATATTTGACGAAAGAGTACAAATTATGGAGCTCCTAATTATCCAGTTTTCCCAACACAGTTTTGTATATTTTAATCTCTATATTTTTTATACAGCAGACAGGAAGACAAAAGATTCTGAACTACATACCAGCAAGATTTCTCTGCATTTAGCCCACCTTTAATTTCTTTATGAATTTAATTCTGATTTGTTACCACTATATGTAATATTTGAATTTTATCATACTTTCAAATAATTTATTAACTCATCCTATAAGCCAGTCATCTTTATTTAAAGATTGTCTCATTGAGTGATTGTTCAAGGAAAATGTTGCAAGTTCCATTATATGATAAGAAAATGTACAGAACTGAGCTTCTATTTGTATTACTGAAATTCTTTTGATGCTACATTTTTTTAATATTGAAATTATTTATGAACATGGAGGAAAAACAGAGTACAAAATCATAAATATCTGTGTAACACTGGCATTCAATATAACATTGTACTGTATTATATTTAGTTCATAGTTACACACCTTTTGTGCTTCTTGTTCAACTTGTTTCAACTTTTCCAGGGAATCTTCCTTCTGTTGTATCAACTGGCAGTTTAACTGATTTGCCTTGTCAAGTTTCTGTTCTTTTTCTACTATCTTACCCATCACTTCTTTGATCTCACCACTATGACGATCTATCAATTCTAGTTTATCTTTCTCAATATTGTCAAATTTCACTTTGTAGCCCTGGGCAAGGTCTAAAGCTTTGGAGAGTTCAGACTCAAGTTGTTTCAGCTTCTGAAAAAAATAAAAATAAAAGATGGTACAATGGAAATATACTTTGACTGTTGAAGAACTGACAGACTGGCATGAACAGGTCACAACATAATTTGACCTGTGTGGGCCCTTCTATAGTTACAGCAATATTGTGTGTTTATAAATTCTATCAAATTGTACTCAGCTGCAACTATCAATAAATATTTTAATATGGCTTGTGTGACGTTTTTATATTTAATACAGAACTTAAGTGACCAACAGTCAATAAGATTCACCTGCATCATTTCAGATTCTTGTCTTTGATGTTCTTTTCTTTCACTGTGTAGTCTACTAGTTAAACTATGTCGCTGCTCTTCCAGCTCTTTCCAGTGCTGAACAAGACGAATCCAGGCATCTTGTAACTGCAAAATTGCTTTATCCTTGCCTCTGTCCACTTGTACTGCTACAGCAAGCTTCTGTTCTTCTTCCAGAACAGAAATTTGCAATTGCTGGATCAGTCTTTCACAGTGCTGTAACACGATTAAGAAAATTTCTTGGACATGCGGAAAATTTGCATATATGCTTTTATTATCTGACCATCACATATTATCAAGTACTGCAAAATTCAGAGAGTCCAGGTGCCAGCCTAACTTACAGAAGCTTTAAAAACTTGAACAACATAAATTTAACAGATACTAGGAACATGGGAATTTGTCCTTACAAATTATACAAATATACTTCACAACATCTGAAGCACTGCAGATTAGGTCAGCAGTAACATGTTTAACTTATACATGAGAGGTGCCTGGCTTGAATAATAGCCAAGGCTCTGCTTTTTGTTGTCATAAACAGTGAATGCCAAAGCAGTACACTATAATAAGCAACCACTTAGAACAGGGCGATTTATTTTTGTCCACGAGCTAACAATAAGCTTTTAGGACTTAAGACATTTGTTGTTCTCAAGATGGGAAAGATGACAGTTATCCTATCTCCAGACACTATGTTTCTCTGAAATGACTGTACATACTTAAGATTTCACATGGCATCGCAACCCAAAAGAACATCACTAGGTCTTTTAACACTTTTATTCAGAATGTTTTATCATTAAATACAACAATTCAGGAATTATAAATGAAACAATTTAAGTTCCTACAAATGCACATGATATGCAATACAGTACAGGAAGTCCTAACTTTACAAAGAATTGTATTACAAAATTTTGTTCACATGATATTTTATAATGAAGGCTTGGCTTGTCAACTGGGATACTGCTACTTGAGTCAAAACAGACCAGCAAGTCTACTTCTTGTAGTTGACGATTATGATTTGGTGGTAGGGGGGACATGAACACACTGATTGTACCTCAAAAATTCTGTACATACATGTCTTCTGTATTTCTCCTCTTCATATCTCACCCAGATGTTAGCGTGTTCATTCCTAACCCGAGAGGCAGATGATGAACCATCCTTACTCCACAGTTCTGACAAACTGACGAGATTAGATGTTCCAGAACTACAACAACCACATATTTATGTCATGATTTACATGATGTCATGATTGTGTTTCGTGTGATTCTGTTGTTTTGCTGATGAGTTAGGAGGGTATATTAAAATTAATTTTTAAGCTTTGATTATATTTTATTAAAAATTACCAAGATGACTCAAATGGACCTCATTTGACTCTACTTATCAAAATACTTTAACAAACTGCAAATATTCATATAAACTGCTTCACACAGGACCCAGTGATCAGTTTATGTGATTAGCCATTGATTCTAATAGCATTTCATGGTAAATTTAATAACTACCAACTGCTCAAAGAAATCCCAGTTATAAGTGAATGTGTGTGTACAAATCACAAGTCTGTTTTGGTCTTCAATCAGAATTAAGATCAGAAATCTTACTTTATTTAAGTCACAGTTAGAGTCTTTCCATCATATTTTAAAATAATTCTGAACTAGTAACATGTGACAAATTCATATAATGTATATATATGATTCACAGGTATAAAAAGAAAAATGGGACTATACATTACTCTTGTTAATACAGAAGTTTATTTTACTAGCTTAATCAAACTGAAGACCTGAGAACAGGCTAAAAAATATAGCTAAGACCAATACTTACCTCACAGAGGCTGTCATACCACTGACACCACTCTCAAGAAAGACATTTCCATGATCTGGTTTGTTTCTTAAACCTGCTTACAGATAGAAAGGTTATAATTCCAATAACAAATCATTAATAACACCAAAAGGATGCTAATTATTCTACAGGATAATCCTCCTGCTAAAAGCCCCAAGCACACACAGCTGACAAGGGGCAGTTCTCCAGCTTGTGGGGTTTCTGGGTTTGTGGTCTTTGTTCCTGTAATCTTCCAGCCAAAACAAACAATTTTGGTCTTGGTGCTGCTTCTCTATTATGTATATTTTCTGGTCTACAAAAATAATTTTATGAAGACCTGAACCCACAAGCTATTCTGACTCAGGTTTCCATAACTTTCTTAAGTTTATCCAAGGATAGAATGCTGAAACAGGCAACCACAGTACTCAGTCAAATCCTTATCTATTCGCCATTCACAATAATTTTCACGACTCATTAAACACAAATGTACCTAATACACTTCTATATGTGGCAATAGTATAATAGTTATTGTCAGAAAATACATATAATCAGGGAGGGGGTGGGAATGACAATTGTTAGCCACATATAATAATCTACTATAAAAATTTGTGATTAGTCGTTGTCGTCAACCAATTTGTCGTCAAAAAATGACGTCATCAACAATGTCACCTTATATTTGTTTATACACGGAAGTACAACACAACAATGCCGAGTAAACAAATAACGCTTTACTACCAAGCCAGTCGCATTATCACTGCTCCAGAAGCAGCACGTCTCCACTGAACAGCGAGATAAAACTATTTAAGAAATTAAGAAAAGTGAAAGAAGACGTTATCAAGTATTTGAAGTACCAACTCCAAACAGTGATACTCATTCGATATATTACGATTACGAAAACTGACTTTATGATCGATTTTAAGACGAAGATTTGCAAGGGTGGGGCTGGACGTAAAACGTTGTCTGAACAAAAACTGTTGGCGTTTCAAACACTTGACTAACCCCCCTTCGGGGTTGGTCAAGTGTTTCAACCCTCCATTCTGAGTGGTTAGTTTAGTTTCTTACTCAAGGGTTAAAACACTTGAATGAGACACTAAACTAACCCCAAAGAGGGGTTGGTTGCGTTTTAAACACTTGATCCCCCAAAAGGGGGTTGTTGGTCAAGGGTTTTAACCCCTCATTTGGGGGTTTAGTTTAGTTTCTTACTCAAGGGTTAAACCACTTGAACCAATTTGTCGTAAAAAATGACGTCATCAACAATGTCACCTTATATTTGTTTATACTCGGCATTGTTGTGGAACACAACAATGCCGAGTAAACAAATAACG